GGCATGAAATCTTCTAACTGCCTCATCCTTTTCTCGGTCATCTTGGAAAAGCGATGCTGCCCTCCGGGTACTAAGGTGGAGGCGAGAGGCATACTGCCATCCAGGGTTTGCAGGGGGCCAGCCAAGGAGCGAGGCCAGCCCTGCCCCCGTCCACTCCACACCCACTCCTGTAGCTTCCACATGGGGAGAACAAAGGCATATTTGTTCGCCGTTGTCGTGCCAGTTTAATTTTCCCCATGACAATATTTTATAAGTTTGGGGAGCAAGGTGTCTGTCACCATTGGGTTGTCCTGCTGTCAGAACTAAAAGGAGACAGTATTGAAGTAAAGGTCACCACCGTGGGTATTGGTGGCCATGGCTGTGGGTGAGAGAGTTCTGCACAGAAAGTGGGACTCGATGGGAAGTCCCGGAGTGTAAGGGTTTTGTTGCCCAGGCGGCTGTGGGTTCTCCTGCTGACGGAGGAGAAAAATGGTGATGGGCTAGGAGCCATTGCAAATAGCCAGCCGTCTATTTTGTGTGATCTCAGGATGGACTATGTGGCCTCCCTTCCCCTGTTTTAATCCGATACCCCTTCCTGATCCCCTCAGCTCGGGTGATGTCCAGGTGGGTTTGCCTTAAGCCCAGGCCCCTTGTGGCAGGGGGAAGTGGTCGATGAGCCCAGATAACTGCCATGAGGTGGGGGGGGGGCAGGGGGGGTCCACTGAGGCCCCAGGCTTCCCAGGCACTGCCTGACAAGCTCCACATCCTCTGGGAGGGGGAAAGACCATGGCGGGTCCTATATGCAACCAGCCTGACGCCTATAGAAAGAGCAAGGTGTGGATTATTAAAATGACATTGCAGAAAGTTGGCATCATTGGTCATCATCAAATCATCTTGGTCTTTTCTTAGAAATCACCAAAGTCTCAGACGTTTGAAAGCTTGTTTTAACCCTCAGGGAGACGGGTACCTTCTCAGAGTGTATATATATAAAATGTTGGGCTGCCCCCTCCCCAGCTCCCGTCATAGAAATGGCCTGGAGTGACCCGTGGGAGCTCTGACCTCAGCCAGAATGGAGGGCCGGATTCCATAGGTCAGCTACGTTCCCGCGGTACGACGTCTGAGAGGCGCGTTTCTGCTGAACGCTCTTTAAGTTCCATGTGTTGGAAAATTTTCGTGATGACTCATGGGGGGGGAGGAGGGGCGAGAAGAAGTCTCCACCATGTTAGTGCTCTAAATGTCCCCTTGCGTCGTAAGTGACGATTGCTTTGCTTTGCAGAGCGGCAGTCTCGTCCACAGCTACCGAGGAACTGGCGGCATCTTCGAGGTGTGCTGGAACGCTCGCGGGGACAAAGTGGGCGCCAGTGCGTCCGATGGCTCTGTAAGCAGCACCCGTGGTTTGCTGGGGGGTGGAGGGCACGGGGGTGGGAAGAGGAAAAGCCGGGGAGCTGATAGCCGTGTGCGCTTCCAGGGGGCGTGCTGGGTCCTTGTCTCACGGACAGGCACTCCACAAACGCTGCTGGGTGAAGGAAACCTTCGGGCTGCATCCTGGTGGGTTGGCACCACGCCTGACAACGGCCTCTCGTCCTTACTTCCTCCCAGAATGCCTTCCAATTGGCATTTTCTCCGTGAAACCGGTGCTCCTGAATCGGGGTGACTCTGCCCCCACTGAGGACCGTAGGCAATGTCTAGAGGCATTTTTGGGGTTGTCACCACTTGGGTGGCGGTGCTACTGGCACCCGGTGGGTGGAAGCCAGGGATGCCGGTAGGTCCCACCGCACAGAAGTGCCAACCCCAAATGTCACTGGTGCCACGGCTGAGAAACTTACTTGCTCCTCTCTTAGCTTCATCTCTGTGTCCCCAACCTGGGCTCTGAGGTGATACAGGCATGGCCTTTCTTTCCACGGGTCTCCTGGGTCGGGTCCCAGTGGCCTTATTCTGATCCTGTGAGATGTGTAGCTTTTTGACTGGCCCCTGCGCGTGAGGTTGCCGTGAGCTTTCAGGCAGGGGGCAGTGGGCTGGCTGGACAGGTGTCCGCATGACCCCCAAATGTTCTCCAAGGCCATGTGCTCAGGCTTGAATTGTCATCTGCTCTGCCACTTGGTGTCTGGTCTGTGACCCGTGCCGACGGCCACTGCCAGCCTGTGCGATCCTGGCATCGCCCTGACGTCGCTCTGCCCCTCTGTGCTGTTTGCTTGGGGTTGGTTGGTCAGATGACCAGACACTACCCTCTTCTTAGAGCTTCTCAGAACCGTCACGACTGTGTGCCAATAAAACTTTATTTATAAAACACGAGTGGTGGGCCGGATTTGGTCCGTGGGCCGTATCGTTTGCCAGGCTGTGCTCTCAAGGCTCCTTTGTGTTGTCTCTCAAGGTAACAGGCGCTTTCTCTTCCCTTCCAGGTGTGTGTGTTAGATCTGCGAAAGTAAACACCAAATACTGCGGGGGGGGAAAAAAGAAGAATTCTAATGGACCAGCTGTGAATGTGTGTGGGATTGCAGCACGCTTCAAACAATTCTCTCAGCTCCAAAACTGTAGGAACTTGACTTGCGTTAGCGTGTCCTTCGAAATCCAATCATCCCTGGCCACAGGAGCCTGTATTTTTTCGTAATCCTCATCGAGACGTTTAAAACAGAAGCATACATACACACAGTCATATCAGAGGGGGAACGAATGGTTGCCACCTAGAACATTCCGCCTGGAAAGCATAAAGCCCTCCGCGAGACGGTGCATGGTGTGGTTCCCATCCAGAGAGGCTCTGATACCTGAGAGGGGAGAGGGAAAAAAAAGGGCGGGGGGAGGGATCTGTGCCAAAAAGAAAGAAAGATGCTGTGATAAACCAAAAGGGGGTGGAAAAGTTCTCCTCCATGTGGTGGGTTTGTTTTTTTTCCCCCTAACAATTTGGACACTACAGTTAGCTCTCGCAAAGGATGCTCGACGACCAGTTTGTACCTATGAGAGGTGCAGCTTTGTAATCCCAACACTTCCTCATTTCCAGAACCTTCTTTGTCCGGTGGTTTTTCTGTCGGCTGGTGGAACCCTGTCGTCTGTCGGGGGCGTTCCGTCTGAGATGGAAACTGTTTTTGGTTTGTTGCTTGTTCCCTGGTCCAACCTGCCCCCTCTGCCTTTTCCCTCCGTTGATTGTGGTCTTGATTTGCAGTAAACCCTCAGTAGATGCAGCCTGGTGGGCACCATGACAAAACCTTTGACGGACAGCCTTCTCGCTTCCCTCTCCACCCTCCCCCCCTGCTGTTCCCTCCCTTCCCCCTTCACCCCCTGGCTGTCCCTTTATCATAGTTGCTTCAGATCTTAGGTCTCAAGGGCACTTTCAGCACGTGACAAGTGCTGAAATGTAAGAAGGCAGGGCAGGGGGACTTTTTACAGGAGAAAAAAAAATGACTTATAAGAGAAAGAGCCCAAAGTATTTTTGGAAGAAAAAAAAATATTTTTATGTTAAAACAATTTTAAAATCCTAAAATGGCCATCCATCAGACATAGAGAGCTATGTGTGGTTTCATATTTTACAAAAAAAAAATTTAGGAAGACACAGTCAGGGTCTGAGGTAGGTCTTCCTGTTCCCGCCGGCTGAGGACGTGGGGTGGGTCAGGGACAGACGCCGTGGATCGCTCTGGAAATGTGCTTCAGCCCAAGACGGAAATCCCAGCTGTTGCAGCTCGAGAACCAGTGCGGCACCTCTGAGTGTGTGTTTACCTGCGTGGCCTACCTGACGAAGGATGCACTGACCCCGCCCGAAAAGCATGCCCCAAACCAAACGATATTGAAGAAGCCATCGAAACCAACAGCTCAGCTCCCTGCACCTATGGGTGACACCTCGTTTGCAGTGACGGCCATCTCCCCAAGATGGGCAGCTGGGCGAGTCCTTGCACAGCTGACCTGATGGCTGCAGGACCTCCTTGGGTTGAATACTGACAGAAATGAACGGGGGGAAGGAAGGGTTTTTTTCAGTCCTGAAGGTGAATTCATGGACACTGATCATGTCTGCCGTCTTCATCGCTTCTTTCTCTCCCAAGAGACTAGGAGAAAGATTTTCTTTTTTTAAACAATGAATCTTTTTACTGTTTTTAAAAAAATTAAACATGGCTTTGTGTTCCTACAGGAGTTTTCTTTCATTGGATCAGGTGACCTTTGTACCCGTGTTGTTGTAACCCGGCACTGACCTGTTTTTAAAAGGAGCAACTTAGGGGGAAGGACCCCCGAAGACAGGATGTCTTCTCTCTGGTTTTCCTGCGGGCACAGGAAGGGATGGGGCCATCATCCAGGCCGGGGGCGTTGACCCTGGGCAGGTTTCAGCCAGGTGTGTGTTTCCACAGGGACATGCAGTGCTAGTCAGAGAGTGCCGTCCATCTGAGGACCCAAACATGCACCATCAGGGCAGGGCATGTGCGTCCTGCAGACCTTGGAACGTGCCAGCTACCAAAGCCACAGCCCCGTCCACCATTGTCAGGTCATGACTGAGCTGCACTGGACACGGGAAGTATTCAAGCTCCAGCCATAGAAAACCAAAAAGAGCTCTGTTTACGAGTTTGGGTATTTTGGCGGGGATGGGGGGGTGCTCTGCTACCTGAACGGTCAGGGTCCTGTGGAGTCGCCACTCCCATCTTGGAAGACAGCAGACACCCCTCCACCCCCGGCTATGCTGATCCTTTCCTGCCCCAAGAAGCTACTAGGTGTGGGACTCAGCTTATCGAGGGCCGGCCCGTGGGCGAGACACAGGGAGGGCTTCGCCCGACCATCCTCATTGGAAGGTCCGTAGCCTGGGTCTCGCCCAAGTGTGACCTTGCTAAATCAGAACCTCGTGGCCTTGGTGAGGTCGGAGCCGCACTCTGAGGCCCCAGTCCGCACAGGCCAGGCCAGTGCCCGGCGGGGCACGTGACAACGAGGAAGGCAGCCTGCCCACACCCCTGCCTTCCCCAGCCGGCCACCGGAGAAGAGCTTACCGTGGGCCCCAGGGGGGAACAAGCGAGAGACTGGGCCCGGATCCGTCCCCGTTCTCAGCACAAGGACCCTCCGACCTTCACACGCCAGCCAACAGCCGGTCACTGGCAAGCCAGGAGTTCAGCTTTGTAACCCAGGTGGCCCGCGTGTCCTGTCACCGTGTGCCATTGTTTACAGCTCTTAAAAATTGGGAGTGATGCTTCAGTCTTAGTGACCAAATGTAACCTTGATTCTGAGAGCAGACGAAACACACCGGAGTCTTCGGTTGGGCTTGAAGTGACTGGGAGCGCGTCCTGCCCACGGGATGCTGGGGACAGGGAGCTGCGGGGACCCCCACACAACCCCTAGGACTTGACCTCCGTTCTGTCTTTCTAAAAGTAGGTCATGGAGCCAACTGAAGTGCACTTTGTCAAATGTAAGGGTCTGCTTGGTTCCTGGTTATTTTTCTCTCTCTTTTTTTTTACCTGTTTCACTTTTTTTTTTTTTTAAATCGTGTTTCTTGTCAAACGCAGAAATGTTCCTTCCGCCACTCACTGAGGTTTTGAATTCTGGCTTCTGCGGTTTTTATTGTCTGTGTCAGACGTACAGCCAGATGTCGTTGTCTGTAAGCACCTCCCCGATTCCGTCCCACCCACATCGACCCCGTTCTGTTCTGCCCCCCCACCCCCACCACTCACCCTCACGCTCTCCGAGAAGAAGAATCACCTTATGTGTCGTAGCTCATTTGTTTCGAGAGAGAATCAACAGATCATATTCAGTGTCTTGAATAAATTGCTCTATTTTGATATTAGAGAACGTGGTGGGTGTGCTTCACTTCGTGTTGCTCGGTAACTCTGGGGCCCACGTCGACACTGACGAATGAAAACAGGACTGGACGTTTTCTCAAGAGGAGAGAAACTCCAGGGCTTCTCTTGCCAGGGCTGCTGTTGACACAGGGCAGTGGGACCTGGACGCCATGGGGTGGGTGGACGGCAGCCCCCGTTGTTACAGAAGCTTCTTACACAAAGGGAGCATGTTTTTGAGTGTGTTTCCTGTGCATTCCTCTATTTTGGGCTGGCTGTTTGAAACAGTCAAAGCAAGTGGATTTTTCCTCTTGCCCGCGGGTGGGTGTGCTGGGAGTTTAAGGTTCCAGCATTGGCTTTGCATGATCTGAGGAACCTGGAGTCACAGGACATGGGGACCTTTGACAGTTACTTGTGCATGATGCAGACAGGCAGTCATCAAATGTGCCATCTGCTCAGAGCCGGACTCCCCTGGGTGTTTTCGTTGATGCCGCTTGAATCATTGGTGGGTGTTGCATTGAGTTAATGGATATTGCTTTCCCCGTGACGGGGATGAGGCAGCTGTCTCGGACAGATGGACTGGGTGTTGCTGTACACACGAGTCACTGTTAAAGCAGGTCATGGTGTCACTGTCCTCAAATCCCAACTTTGTCCTGCACTGGGGGCTCTTTCCTGCCTGCTTTTGGTCCCACGTTTGTCTGGCATACAGCCTACTTTTGTTTTCTCTTTTATTTTAATCCCCACCCACTTGACGAAGCCGGTTCCCACAGGGTGGATGTGGGGTGAACTGAGCACCCCCAGCCCTGCTCCAAAAGCCGTAGGAAGGTCCTGGGAAGAACTTGCAGCCAACACCCAGTGGGCAGGGAGGAAAGGCCACGCGTTCCCCGGGATGGAGGCACGAGTGACAGGTGGCTCTGGTGGCTTCAGTGACGATGCTGGTAACACGAATGGCTTTCAATGGGCTTCTTGATACTGTAGAGCAGCGGTTCTCAACCTTTCACAGGGGTCGCCTAAGACCGTCGGAAAACAGATAATTTCGACGGTCTTAGGAACCGAGACACCGCTCCTCTATCGTCTCCAGGCCCACATGCAGATACGCCCACATACGAGTCTCCAGTGACCCCTTTGAAGGGGTCGCAACCCACAGGTTGAGAACCGCAGCTGTAAAGGAAAGCGGTTTGGGAAAGATTTGTGTGGGTTTCATCTGCAGATGGCACGGAACCCTTTGCCACAGGGCTTCTCAAATGCATTCCTTGGTCCATTGAGGCTCCGCTTAATTTCGTTAATGTGGGGAACCTAAGCTTCCTCTCGCTGAACAGAGAACTCTGCTGGTAATCGCCCCCATGGTGCTGGTGTTCCTAAGGGGTATATGAGAGGGTGCTTCATGCCCACGGGGAGTCGTGTGTGCACCTGCGGTGCGAGCTGACGGTCACACTGACGGGGTCCTGGAAATCACTGTAGATGCGTGGAGCAGCTGCAAGGGGGGCCTATGTCCTTACGAAAGACTCAGAATGTGGCCGACTGTTCTTGTTTTCTTTCCAGCCCGGTTCCTTTTCCTCTGACGTGCCTCATCCACTTGCAAGGTAAGGAAAGCAGGAGGACACGGTTCCACCCGGAGGAGACCGTGGAGGGGACGAGGGGACAGGCCGGTGTTCCTCGCGGAACTTCCACCAAACCCTGGAGCTCTGCCCTGCGGGATGGGGGCTCTGATTACGAATGCTGGTCCTCACGCGGGAGCCCCTGATGGAGGGTGTGGCAGGGGGACAATATGTCCCACCATAGCTACGCAATCAGCAATGATGGGAAGCTATCTTGGCAAGAGGGGGCACAAGCAGACATTTCAGATTGGTACGGTGTGATACACTGGCCAGGGAGCTGCAAATCGAGTGGGAGCTACCTGGCAGGGGCACCTTTCTACCCAAACTCGCTCCCAGAGACACCTGTCGAGTCCGGCCAACCCAGACTCCCGTGTGAGTCCCAGTTCCTCACCTCTGCAAAAACGTCCCTTCCTTACTGTCCCCTCCCTCCCGTCGTCATTATCGCTGTCATTGCCCTTAGCATTCCAGCATTTTCTAGCACGTGCCATCGACAACTAATACAACATCCCTCTGCGGCGACCAGCCTTCCCGGGAAGTTGCTAAAGACCAAGTGTTCTCATTTACTTGTTTGCTCAAGTACTGTCTCTCTTGTCCCCTAGATGGGCTTGGTACCCCACGTCTCTGATGCATTTGTGTGTCCCCAGGGCCTGGGCATAGCTCAGTGCCTGGCAAGGAACCATGAGAAGGAGTCCCCTCACCCTCTTGCTCTCGGTTCACCCCAAAACCATCGCGCCAGCTGCTAACACGGACACCGCATCCAAGAAGGAAGCATTTTAACTGAATATTCAGATCGGTCAGGGTATTTATTTGCAAGCGTCCACCCCTGACTCTGGCTATTGAAAACCAAAAAGAACGGGCGACCACATTGGGCAACTTTGAAGACTGTGGAGGACCAGGCGTGGAGGCCAGGCGGGCAGGAACAGCCCAAGTCAGGCTAGGATCGGTCCCCCTGCAGGTAACACGGTGCACAGACAGCTCTGGGAGCTGCCCACGCCTCGATGTTGGACGCCAGCGTGGCCCCTAAGAGAACACCCACGCTGCCTTCCACAGTGACACGCCTGTGGGAACCCCTCTGCACAAGTGCTTTTGTGAGACCCGTTTCCTTGGGCACTGCTTTCTACAAAGGACGTGGGACACGTGTCGCATTGGCTCTGCCTAGTCCCCTCCTTCCTCCAGCTGCAGGGGAGGCTGGGGAATCCAGCAGGTGGCATCTTTGCCTCTAGAGTGGGGTGGGGCTGTGCCCCCTCTGGTAGGGGGGATCCTCAAACACAGGAGGGGCTTTCAGTGCTGGGGGCAGACAGAATGTCAACACAGAGGTTAAGGATGCAGATGCCACCCAGGAAAGCTGACACTCCCTCCCATGTCCTTGACACTTTGGGTCAAGGTGTGTGTTTTCTAATGCAGGTCTAGCCTTAGAGATGCACAGCCCTAAGCACGACGGTCACAGTCACCGAGACCCCTGAATGCATCTGCAGCCATGTGACTCTGCAAACGTACAAATCCAGGAGCATCCTGGACAGCGTTTCTAGAGCGAAAGAGACCCCTAACCTTGAAGGGAGGCGTCACACAGCAGGGCTGCCTGCAGGGCCCTCGGAAAAGAGTGTCTTGCTTTTCTAGACGCCTAGGTGGATTCCAATATCTTTGCCAATATTCAAAAATGGAAAGATGGAGACCTAGACAATGACCTGAGCGTACGTCAGGTTCCAAGGATTCCTGAGACTGTCATTGCTGAACACAGCGTGGGGACCAAAGGCTAAAATTCCTGCTCCAAGCTGCCCTCTGGTGGTGAACGCGCGCGCTGCGCAGCCACTCCATGTGCCCCGTGCATCCCGCAGCTTCTCCACTTTGCTGCCTTTTGGCATCAATACCTTAATCCAAGCCAGAGCGGGAGCTCAGTTATGACCTTTTTTATTAACTTTCCCCAAGGACTTGGACCTGGCATTATTACATGGCAGCTTCTACAGAAGCTGCTGAGCTGTGGGTCTAGAAGGAATTCTCCCATTGGCGTGTGCACAGTCATGGATCATTTATCACAGAGCATCCTCGGGAAGGTGCTGTAACGTGGTGACGAGAGAGAGATTTTTGAGGGACGCCACACCCTGGCACAGGAGAGAAGGGAAGGCCAGGGCACAATTCTAACGAATGAGAAATGCAGGCTCTGAGGATATGGCAATTGTGGGAGCTAAAAGCTTCTATAAAAGACAAAGGCATCATGAGGGGAGGAAGAGGAATTGTGGGAATGACAACAGTTCGGTGGAAATTTACAGGAATTGAGGGAAAGACCGGGCCAAGGGAAATACAGGGGAACAATGGGACAGACACAGAATCATAAGTGAGACATGGAATTGTAGGAAAGACCGGATGATAGGCCAAGTGTGGAATTACAGAGGACAAAGAATTATGGGAAAAGAAGGTTAATGGGAGACAAAGGAATTATGGGAATGATGAGGTGTCATTGGAGACATAAGGGAATTGTGGGAATCAGGGTCCCATAAAAGTGAAATTGTGGAAGGTTCAAGGAATTGTGGGCATGACTGCCACAAAAGAAGAATTGCGGGAAGCTGAAGGAATTCTGGGCATGACTGGGCATCATGGCCGAAATAGGGGAATTGTGGGTATTACTGGGCGTCATGGCCAAAATAGGGGCATTGTAGGAATGACTGGGCATCATGGCCGATGAAGGGGAATTGTGGGAATTTCAAGAAATTATGGGAATGACGGGGCATGATGACCATCAAGGGGAATTGCGTGAAGCTAAAGTAATTATGGGAATGACTGGGCGTCAAGGCCGATCAGGGGGAATTGTGGGAAGCTCAAGGAATTATGGGTGTGACCGGCCATCATGGCCGATCAAGAGGGATTGTGGGTATTACTGGACATCATGGCCGAAATAGGGGCATTGTGGGAATGACGGGGCACCATGGCCGATTAAGGGGAATAGTGGGAGGCGCATGGTAGTGTTGGAACACCAAACATTGTGGGGGAGAATGGAGAACTTTGGGAATAAAGGAACCACAGAACTGGAATTGTGAGAAGCTCAAGGGATTATGGGATGTCGGAGCATCAAGGCCGATCAAGATGAATTGTGGGAAGCTCAAGGAATTATGGGATGACCGGTCATCATGCTCTATCAAGGGGAATTGTGGGTATTACTGGGATTCAAGGCCGAAATAGCGGGAT